TGCAGCCTCATCATGGTATGGGTGGTAGAGGTTGTTCCTGGAAGGGATAAGCAAAGAACCCTGGCAATGGATGCCAAGAGTCTATATTCCCAGTAGAGTCACCCAAGGCATGGAGCTCATCCCAGCTGCCCAGCTAAAACAAGCAGGAACCTATATTGGATAGCAAAGATATAGGAAATGAAAAGTTTTCAAGGGAAAAATCCAAGAAACTCCAATTGTCTTTTGAAAAGCACCTTTGGGATAACCATGACCTGGATGATTGAGAATTTCCATAGATATGTGAAAGTTTCCTTCTAACCCTCCCCTTTTTACATTTTAATTAAACAATGTGAAGGAAGCTCTTGTCATAAAGAAATTTAATTGTATAAGAATAATTTTAGCTTTATAAATTAGAGAACTGATTATGAACTGGATTTGTATAATAATGATGAACACATAATCAGCATGTCATGAGGCACATTCTTAAATAATCTGTTGCATCTTCCATAAAGTGGATTTGGCAAGATCTGTTCAACAAATCCATCCCAACGTCCAGCAAGTACCACAGTGTTTTAGGAGAACTCATGATATATGGTATCCTAATATTAACTGCTCCTGCATCTTCGATGATATTGATGTTCCATGCAATGATCTGCAGTTTGCTGGATCATCTTCTCCCCTTTTCAAAGACAGAGATATTTGGGTTTTTTTTTGGTTCCCTTCTCATAGCACTCCTTCATCTGGCCTTGCTCGAGTATGTTTATAATGCAATGCAGGGATGACCTTGAGGAAAGTGAAGAAGAGATGCTAGCTAGGCTCTCACAGAAAAGAGAGGGGGAAGCATCTAGTACCGTGGTGGCGAACCTATGGCAAGCGTGCCACAGGTGGCACGCTGAGCCGTCTCTGTGGGCACGGAGCCTGTTGCCCCAGTCCTAGGCCTTCAGCTGGGTTTTATAAAACCTTTTCTCTGTAGGCCTCCGCCGCCGTGTACAAAAAAAAAGATTTAGTCAATCAATCAATTTCAACTTCTCGCAGGGAAAAAAAAGATCTTGCAAAGTTGGAATTGATTGATTGAACTTTTTAGTCCCACCCAGTCTGCCATTACCACCGCAGCCACACCCACCCAATGGGCTACGCCCACCCAATTGATCACACCTACCCAATTGACCAAACCCACCCAATGGGTCACACCCACCTGGCACCCGACGATACATACAGTAAGTGGGTTTTGAGTTGCAGTTTGGGCACTCGGTCTCTAAAAGGTTTGCCATCACTGACTTAGTACCTAAATGATCAGAGAAAAAAAAAACTTAGGAAGGACTCACCGTAATAAATGAAGCAATAAAAGTGGCAACAGGAAGATTGTACTTTCAGACTTACAAGATTCTTATAGTAAAGCAGAAATAGCTCACCTAATCCTGTTTTCTGCCTGGTTTATCTGGAATGGCTGATGTTCTGAAAAAAACAAAAGCAAGTCTATACTTGCACAATTTGAGAAGTCATAAATTATGATTACAAATTGCTGAGTTTTGAGAAGACTTGAGCAGCCAACAAAGAAGCAAACCATAGTATGATTTCACATGTCATTGGAATCCAACTATTGTGTCAGATCCCCAAAGAAATGTATTGCTTTTCTTTCTGTATATGGTTTTATAACCAGTTTTTGGGGCCTGCCATTCTGTTGGGAAGGGGAATGCTTTGGGGAATGCTTTGCACTGCCTTGCCACACTGCCCTTCCCCCAGGGTTAGGAATGCAGCCAAATAACATCACCCTTATCTGGAAGAAGGTTTGCACTTGGAACCAGAGGGAAATGAGAGACATTGAAGAGCCCTCCAATGTGGATTGGCTGAGAGTCAAATGGACAATGGGGCCCTGGGGGAGGAGTAACAATTATGGATTTTGATATACTGCTTGCACAGGATTTTTCCTCAGATCCCGCTTTGAATTCCTTGCTGTCACTAGCTCCTAATAAAAGTTCCCTTTGAAACAATGCCTGTTTCGAGAATGCTACTTTCTTGGGAGACCTAGATGAGGCAGGTCCTTACATATTGCATGTTGATGTGCTTATTTGCATTGTGTTTTGGTTTAATTGACAACTGATATATATTGATAGCCACATTAGATTTTAATGACAATCAGTTAAAAAATGACAATGTGAGATGTTGTATATAAATATAGGAAATAAAGGAGGAATCTCTTATATCTTTTAAAAGTCAAAGGCAAATAATGGCCATTGGTTTTTGTTCTGTTCTGTGCATTGGTAAGGCATTGAGACGAGGCAGGTGTAACAACAGTTGCTTCTTTATTTAAGCTTCAATAGAACCAACAGAACCAATACAAAATGGCGCAGATCCCTTTTATACCTTTTTGCAGGGAACAGCTTCAGCCAATAAATGCAACGTATTTTTCTCGCTTTGCCCGTGCACAATAGGCTGGAGACAGCCTATCTGGCCCGGGCAGCCACGTGGTCTGCCCGGGTCTCTCTGCAACTTCCTGCAGCTGCTATGTCAATCACAGGCCCAGGACATAATACCCCTCCCCTCTTAGTTCAAAAAAACATATATTACTATTTTTTTTAACTACTACAAGTCACTCTTTTAAGCGTATTCCTATTTCTAGAGAAATACTACAGTAGGCCTGCCCGCTTACAGACAGGAACCTTACATAATCTTGTAAGAACTTTGGAGGGCCTCTGACTCGCTCCGAGTGTCTCGGAGCTGCTGCAAGTGCCTGGTCTGCAAGCTTGCCTGCCAGGCTCGGCAGACCAGGACTTTGAGGCCCAATTGATACAGGCGAACCCGCATCTTGCTAACTGGCCTGGTCCGGTAGGCCCAACCCTTTGTCCATTTGACTTCGGCTGGCTCTTTCCGGTAAGCCCAGACCAGAGTTCCTTGGTGGGGTTGAATTCCCCAGGCCCGCGAGAGACCCCTGTTCGGAGCATTGTCCCGTAGGCACAAGGCCTGCAGTAGGAGTGGCATGAAGAGCCGGTTGCATGCAATGTCCCATGGACCCAGTGGCAGAGTCAGGAGCCGCCTCATTGGCAAAACCCCTATTTGCAGAGTGCAAACCCCCGCTTTTGCAGAGAGACTGAGATCCACGATCGTGATTGTGGTCCTCCTCCCCCCTGAGAGCAGAGTCAGGAGCGGAAGGGTCAGTAGGTAGCCTTCCATCGCAGCTGGTCAATGTGCTGATGCAGCACATGACCATCATCCAAGGCCACTTCATATGACAGTGGCCCAGTGACCTTGCAGACCACTTCTGTCACCCAGAGATGTCCAGGTCCATAGTTCCTTGTCCAAACCGGATCTCTTGTCTCTTGCCCACAGACACAAAGTAACGTTGCGGTTTACCCGAAAGTAGTTTTCTACTCTGGCAATGTATGAACTCCAACGTTCAGGGTGCGCTGTATTGAATTCGGACAAACGCCCTATCTTAGCCATCATTCCTCCTTGGCGGCCTCATCAACGCCTTGTGCTGCTCAGGCTTGCAAAGGGGTTCCAGGGTGAATCTTGCCGAGCTCTCCTCCAACGTTTCCGTACTGGCAGGCAGAGTCGCACAAGTTGGAACGCCGAACTTCCAAGCACTTTGGCCTCCCGTGGTGAGTCAGCCTAGGATTCTTTTATTGTTGTTTCCTTGCAGCACGATCCCACCTTCGTCGCCAATGTTCTGTTCTGTGCGTTGGTAAGGCATTGAGATGAGGCAGGTGTAACAACAGTTGCTTCCTTATTTAAGCTTCAATAGAACCAACAGAACCAACACAAAATGGCGCAGATCCCTTTTATACCTTTTGCAGGGAACAGCTTCAGCCAATAAATGCAATGTATTTTTCCCACTTTGCGTGTGCGCAATAGGCTGGAGACAGCCTGTCTGGCCTGGGCAGCCACATGGTCTGCCCGGATCTCTCTGCAGCTTTCTGCACCTGCTCTGTCAATCACAGGCCCAGGACATAACAGTTTTCATGGGGAAGTCTCTGTGTAAGGACCTGCCTCAACTAGATCTCCCAAGAAAACAGAATCTTGAAACAGACATCGTTTCAAAAGGAACTTTTATTGAGAGTTAGTGATGGCAAGAGAGCAAAGCAAGGTCTGAAGATTTGGCGTGTGAAAGAGTACATTAAAAGACAATTCAAAACTCCTCCCACCAATGTCCAATTGTCTGGTTGAAATCTAGCCAATCCACTGGTGCCACTATGTTATGAGAGCCTGGAGATTTAGTGTCCTTCTCAAGGTCTCTCTCAGTTTCATTTCCCAACGGTCCCAGGGTCCATGGTCTGGAGATCAGGCAGATGTTTTCAGATCGCATTCCTCTTGCCCAGAGGGAGGACAGAGCAGAGCAAAGCAACTAATATTCCTCATGCAAGCACCCCCCCCCCCAAAGTATGGCAGGCACCAAAAATACATAGGCAAAAGCAGGAAAGGGAGAAATGAGAGGATTGAAGGCAAATACATTTAAGGAGCTCTGATACTCCGATTGATGGGTGGCTGATGAAACCCGTCATCTTTTAATCCTTTGCTTTGGGGACTCTGGAAGGCCTCTGCATCCTACTAGTGAAAGAAAGTTTACTCTATAGTTGCAAAAGTTAAAGAATTCTCTGGTGCTTATTAAGATGGATCACTGAGAAATTTGATAGTTGTAAGAATTGCATCAGCAAGTTTTCCAGTTACGTTTTATCCCATGAGATCACCCAGAGTTTTGGACATTGCAGGGGGAATGATTCGTGTTACAATTAGTCACATTTTTATTGTCTTCTTTCTGATTCTCCAGTGATTTCCCCTATGATTGCCTTCAGTGTAAACAGCAGACTTACAAACAACATGATTTGCTAACTTGTTCCAGAAAGTCTGGGTGTTTCATTGCATTTCACCACTAATTGCTCAGAAGGATGTGTCTGGTGAGAATTTATATACATCTCCTTCAAATATAAAATGTTGGCTGAGCTCTTGAATAAGGCAAATCACAGAAAATGTAGTCCTTGATTATTCTTAGTCATATTTGATAAGAACAAGTGACTCTACCCAACATGCCAACTATGATGATTATTCCTCTGCTTTTGCTCCACATAACTTTTGGGATGCTAACGTTGAAATGTCCTTTAAATTTGAAGCCAGACCAAAATGTGCTACTGAATTTCTACAGACCAGGAGAGCATGTCATCGGTGGGATCACTAATTTCAAAATTGTACAAGACTTCTTCTACGATTCATTTGACACAGCTCCCGTTGTTTATTGGAGTCTGTAAGTCCCTATGTATGATAGAGGTATAGCCTCTCTATTTGTTGTGTGAGAGAGATTGTGCTATGAGATTGTAACAGAAGGAAGGTAAGATGTAAACAACCAAGATATATGAGGGAAGTCCATTGGTAGCTCATATCATAAATGGAAATGTAGCCCAGATGGCAAGAAACCTGGAAAGAAATTACTCAGAATGTTCCCTATGTCTCTGCCTTAATGAATTCATTATTAAAGGAAGGTTGGAAATCCCTTTTGTACTTTCCAAGATTCTGTATTTACCCTTCATGCAAGTATTCAAAATCTCTTACTGAATATTTTTGCAACACATTTTTGGTGTTACTTCCTTGATGTTGGGGAAGAATACCATATTCCTAAGCTTAAAATGTATGGACATCCCTTAACTGGGCAGTGTATCCCTGATCAAATTCCCTTTCCTTGTTCCTCAAGATCCCCAGGCTAGAAAAATAGATTTCAGCCAAAGGAAGGAATTTACTTCCTCCAAGTCAGAAGAAAACTAGGCTCCTTAGCCTGAGTGCCAGCTGCAGATTTATCATATTGCATGCAGACTCTGCACCGAGGGTGGGATTGCAATAAATGATTTATTCTTGTTGTGCCCAAGTCTATTGTTCTAGGCAAATTTGAACTAGAACCAATTCTACTGTAAAGTTAAACACTGAATGAAATACTCCTCAATCTGATTAGAAAAAAAAACTGAGGACAGGAGAGTAAAGAGAGTGAGCTGAATGTAAGTGTCTCTTCTGAGTACCAGGACTTACTGTTTAAGATAGCAAAGCACCTGCTGGGCAAGGGAGGATGGAGGATGCTCCTGAGATGACTTCTTGGTTTCTTAGAGCACAAGGGAGCTTAGGGCCGGCTTCACTGAAACACTGACTGCCCCCATGTAGGTCTACTTGGCTCTTCTTCACTTGAGAAGATGCGCTGCAGCATGTAAAAGCATTGAAAAAGTGAGATGTATTTATAGAGAGACAAAATGATATTTTGGTGACTGCAAACCATATCATTTGAGTTTTAAATGAGCCAAAGAAATATCTCAGAAATTCAACCCAGAGGTTTTTGATAAGTATTTAATATTATTACAATCAAAAGAGAATTTTTTAAATATGTTGTTCTGAAGAAATGCATGAGGAAAATGTCATGCTCTCATATTTCCAGATCAGCCTCCAGAGCATGGAAACTCCTGTCCTTCCTTTTTGCTTTTGAGGAGATTAATCAGAATCCCCAAATCTTACCCAACATCACCTTGGGCTACAATATTTATGATAATGGTCTCACCACAAGGCGAACTTCGGAGGCTTTGCTGGATCTGCTGTCAAAGGGAGAGGCAGATGTTCCAAATTATAGCTGTGGTAAGCAGAGAAACACTCTGGTGGTCCTTGAAGGAGTTGATGCAGACATGTCCATCCATATCTCAAACTTGCTGAACCTCTACAAGATCCCACAGGTAGATCACAGGTGTGACTGCTTGCCCATTTGTAAAGGGGTAGGTCCCCCCTGACTCTGATGTGCAGCAAAAGTTGGGGAAGAAGTTTCAAGAATCTGAATTAGATGTGAATTAAATAAGATTCTTGTACCAGGGCTCTTGCTCAGATTGGAGGATCCCATGGGTAATTTGGGAAAGAAATTTTTTAGGGGTGATGGCAGTGATGGAAGCGGCGGGGAACCTGCAGTGTTTGAGCAGGGAAGCTGTTTCCTTCTTGCCTTCTTTGGAACACCATAGGAGTAAAAATTGCCAAAAAAACAGCAGGAAGAAAAGCTGTCACCCAGTATGGGGCATATATAATCATTTACAGATGGATTTTAAGTGAGGGGTGGGGGTGGGAGCTAAAAGCTTATAAATATTGCAAATTTGCAGATATGTAAAAGAAAAATAGAAATCGCACTGATTCTTATTGTTTTGCCTATTTTTGCTCCTTTTTAAACTTAATCATTTCAGTATTACTAATTTTGCTTCGTTTTTTAATTTAGCAGATACAAAAATATCCATATTTTTTCATATTCATATCTGTGTATACACACACAAACAGATGCACAGATACACTAATAAATATGTATATAGAATATGTCATGAAAAAATTTGTTGGCAATTACACTAGCAAGTAATTTACCTTAAGACCAAAACTATTATTGTAAAATAAATACTCTGATGTATGCTGTCCCTTCAATTTTAATTTTATTCTATATTCATTATATTTGATTTTGATGAAAGTCAAATGATTAAAGTGCATGTTACATTGATATTTGGAACTATGATTAATATTAACAAAATATCCATTGATGACCTCACTGGCTAGATTTAAATGTATCTTAAAAGTTGATCTAGTGTCACACTAACATTTATGAATATACTTTTGCTTCCTATACATGTTGTTGATTTATTCTTCTTTTCAGGTCCGCTCTACTTTTCCTCCTCTGATTTTGAGGGACAGACAGCATTCCCCCTTTTTTTACTCCACTTTTCCCATAGAAACAAATCAATATCTCGGGATCCTCAAACTCCTCCAGTATTTCAAGTGGACACTGACTGGACTCCTTGCTACAGATACCGAAAGTGGGGAGAAATTTCTGAGACTCTTCACATCCATACTTGACCAGAATGGTATTTGTGTTGTTTTTACACGAACCATTTCAGCATCTAAACCTGACTTTAAGGAGAAGGATGCTGGTCTTTTGTATAGAAAAGTTAAAGTCTTTATTTACCGTGCTGAGATTGAAACCTTCATACATGGATTTTCAGCTACACTAAATTTCCTGATGAGGAAGAAGGGATATGTTGTGGGGAATATTTGGATCATAACATTTATTTGGGACTTCACTTTGCAGATATCAGTGACTCCAAAGTTCAATGAAAAAAGCTATCGTATCTTTTCTTTTCTTAGTCGCACAAATAAAAAAATAAATTTTGATAATCTTGAACAACTTGAGTATTTTATTGAGAGATCTGTTGTGGAAATATATTCATGTTCCTATTCAAAGCATGCCCCATCCGTGAAAGACTGGACAAAGTGCAGAGAGAGAGGAAAATGGAGGCCTGTGTCTCAAGAGTTGAGGGAAAGGATTTTGTACCTGGACGGCTACCACATTTACCACACAGTCTGGACTGTAGCACATGCTTTACATGCAGCTTATTCTCTCCAGTCCCAGCGAAGGATCACAAAAAATAGAAACAAAACAGGAGTTCAACGACTGCAGCCGTGGCAGGTACTTTCCTTTTCCATCACAAAGACTTCTGCTGAAGCACTTATTTAGTATCTGACCGTGGAGGTGCAGTCATATCCTTTAAGAACACTCTTTTGGATAAATCTCCCTTTCTGTAACCTGTTTTAGAAGTCACAGTCTAGTGTTTCAATTTGGAAATGTGAAGAGCAATTGATATGTTGAATATAGCTGTTTCTTTTAATTTCCCTTTTTACTTGAATAATAATGATCTTTCTCTACATAACACTAAAACTACATCCCTGGCTTCCTCTGGCTCTTGTGGTGAGAGGGAGGGATCAGCTCAGTTATGAAAGGAAGCTTCTATAGCCAAGAGGGAACAACTAGCTGACTTTCCCATCTCCTGGACCAACACCTTCTCTACTAGTTCCTATTTTCCATCTTAGCTATCAGAGAAATCTGCCTTTTTTCCGCCCTTTCCCACAATGTCTTCTTTGTCCTCAGTACATATGTGAGACAGTCGTAGGTCAGGTTCAACTGTATTGGTGCTAAAGTAGCCTTGAATTCTTTATTCTGAAATCATCTGAGGGCAGCTTCCAGGAGTCTCAAATCTATTAGGCTGGGTCACCCATGACCCTGAAGGGAAGTCAAGTAACCAGGAAGTGACTGAGAGGAGAGAGAAATACCAGACCAGCATTGGTTGGTTCCAGATGCAGGATGGATGGGAAGCTCTTCACCTCAGTTCTGGGGAATTGTCCTCAGCCTCTGAAACAAGCCTTGAGTTAGAGGAAGATCAGCTGTGGAATCGAGATAGTTTAGGTCAGAGATCCCCAACCTTTTTGGCACCGGGGACCGGTTCCACGGAAGACAATTTTCCATGGTCCCGGGCGGGGGGGGGGGAAGTGTTTCAGGATGATTCAGGTGCATTACATTTATTGTAAATTTTCTAAATAAGCTCCCACCAGTCTTGGAAAAGGAGCAAATGAGAGAGGGATTCACTTGGAGACAGTGCTTAAGGCAACCTTGGCTCTTTTATGACTTGTGGACTTCAACTTCCAGAATTCCTGAGCCAGCATGGCTCAGCTTGGAAACCTCTCCCTTTTCCCTCAGCATGGCTGGCTCAGGAATTCTGGGAGTTGAACTCCATGAATCATAAAAGAGCCAAGGTTGCCTACCCCTGGCTTAAGAGGAAATGTACCTTCTCCCCTCCCCCCTCCCCCATTGCAAGCTGAGTAGCAGTTTGGCTTGCAAACTTGGAGAGCTGCATGAAAAAAGGAGGAACACACACACATAACACACACATACATACACCACATTAAATCTTGAAAAGCAGGCAGGATGTTGCCAAAACACGAGGCACCTGGATCATCAAAATAAAAGCAAAAAGCTCTAGTTGAAGTGCAACGATGCCCAGCGGTCTTAGAAAAGGTGCAGACAAGAGACATAATCCCTTGGAGATGCAGTGCTTAAGGTGCCCCTATTTGCACCCTGAGAAAGACACCCTCACACACACATACCTGGGGGGGTTCCTCTCCAACAAAGCTTTGGGGGAGCTCCTGGTTGCAAGCTGGGTTTGCAAGCTGGGTGCATTTGTCTTGCAAACTTCGAGAGTTGCATTAAGAGAGAGCGAGTCCAGTGCCTGCTGGGAGAGAGAGAGAGAGAGAGAAAGGAAGAAAGTGAAGAAGAAGATGAGGAGGAAGAAGAAGCAGGAGGAGGAAGAGGGAGCAGGACGAGGAAGAGGAGGAGGAGGCAGAAAGAGAGATAGCAGAAGAAGCAGGAGGAGGAAGAGGAGGAAGGACATGGAGCTCAGATGTTGCAAACCAGTTGCAAGCGCAGCCATTGGAGGATGTTGCACTGAGCAAGACGGCTTCTGCCCTACCACTCTCCCATCCTGCCCAGAACCCTGCAGACTTGCCGCATTCCTGGAAGTGGAAGCCGCACTTTCAGTAAACTTCCAGCTGCACGGCCCGGTTCTTAAGTGCCCATGGCCCAGTACCAGTCCACGAACCAGAGATTGAAGACCCCTGATTTAGATCTCAATCCCACTTTCCTATTTTCTTCAACTGACTCATTTCTCTTTACTATTTTAGCTTCACCCTTTCCTGCACATCTCCCAGTATTACAATAATTCCATAGAGGGAGTATATGTAGACGAGAAAGGGGACCTGGCAGCTGACTTTGACATCACGTACTGGGTGAGCTTTCCTAATTGGTCGATGTACAAAACAAGAATTGGGAGTCTGGAAAGAGAGGGATGCTCTGAAGATAAATTCAAGTTCATAATGGACAAGGATGCAACCAGAAGGGCCATAGATGTTGATGAGGTAGGGAATATAATTTCTTTTATTTCCATATTTTGAATATCTTGTTTAAAATCTGTTCCTTTTTCCCAACCTAGCTTCTCAACTTTAGCCATAGAATTCAGGGTTTCTTTTTGGGTTATTTGTTAAAGCAAAGGCAGAACCAGAGATATTCTGCACAGATTTTTGGAGATTACTCAGACATTCCTGTCCCCAAAGAGTTTATTATGTGTTATGAGACAGGACATGGTGGCTCTCAGTGAAACGATTTGGATCTTAAGGCCTTCACCAAACTTCAATGAATCAGGATAAAGCTGAAAGGGACCTTGGAGGTCTTCTAGTCCAATCGCTTGCTCAAGCAGGAGACCCTAAAACATTAAAAATAGGTGGCTGTCCAATCTTTTTTTAAAAACCTCCAGTGATGAAGCACTGGAGGTTTTTGAAGGCAAGCTGTTCCACTGGTTAATTGTTCCTATTCTTAGGAAGTTTCTCCTTAATTCCAGGTTGCTTTTCTCCTTGATTAGTTTCCATCTATTGCAGCGGTACTCAACCTATGGGTCGTGACCCCATTTGGGGTCGATCGACCATTTCACGGGGGTCACCAAGCAAGGCTGTCCGCCATTTTTTCCCGTTTTCCGGCGGGTGCCTTACCTCCCTTGGGCTGGGCCAGCTGGTGGTCGGCCTGCTCCGTCTCTGCCGCTTGCCAGCTACGCCTTGGCCGGCGCAGGGGGCGGAACCCCGCATGCGCGGTGCTCCCGGGCAGGGAAAGTCCTTGACTTATGACCGGTTGGGTAGTCCTCGACTTACGACTGGTTTAGTCCTCGACTTACGACCTGTTTAGTCCTCGACTTACGACCGGTTTAGTCCTCGACTTACGACCGGTTGGGGGTCGCGGCATTAAAAAGGTTGAGAACCACTGATCTATTGTTTCTTGTCTTGCCTTTTGGTGCTTTGAAAAATAAGTTGACCTCCCTCTTTTTTGTGGCAGCCCCTCAAATACTGGAATACTGCAAACATGTCACCCCAGTCCTTCTTTTCGCTAGACTAGCCATATCCAGTTCTTGCAACCCTTCTTCATATGTTTTAGTCTCCAGGATTTTAATCATCTGCAATTTTCCAAAGTCTCAACATTTTTTTTAACTAGATGTAATATTCCAGATGTGGTCTTACTAAGGATTTAATAAGTGCTCCAAATTTGTTATTGTGTTTAATTATTTTGTCATGTCCGACTCTTGGTGACTTTATAGGTTTGGCTTTATTTCACTGAATGCTCCTTTTATTTATCTTCAGCCCCTGCCAAGTTCTCGGTGTATGGATAGCTGCCTACCTGGATTTGTCAGGCTGCTGGACCCCATGAAGCCAGTTTGCTGTTACAGTTGTGCTCCTTGTGCAGAGGGGACCATCTCCACTCAGGAAGGTGGGTGACTCCAGAGAAAAGAGCTGCCCATGTCTTTTTAGTATTTAATAACCAGAATTATTTCTACCAGTTTATTTGTTTGTTAGCTTATCTCACATTTTTTCCCACAAAAGAAGGGGATGTTTCTGTCCCAATGAAAGAGAATTGGTAAAGCAGTGAGGAACTGTTTTATTATATTTTTATATTTCACTATGTGGCTTGGGACCAAGTCTCTTCCATCACATCCACCTGACCCACCAAAGTGGGGAGACAGGGGATGTTGCGGGTCTCCTCTCCTAAGGTGGTAAATCTAGTAGGACCCAGAAGAAGGGCCTTCTCTGTAGTGGTTTCCTCCCTTTTGAACATCTTCCCCACAGAGATTAGACTGGCTCCCACTTGGACACTCTTGCACAAGGTGTTGAAGACCTGGTTTTGCTAGGTCCTGGGGAACCCAGAGTGGGCTGGAACCCCTCAACTAACTTATCTGATCAATTGTTCTCATCAGATGGGTGAAGGAGCTATTATTTTTACTCTTTGTAATTGGGTTTTTATTTTTGCAAGCCACCCAGAGTGAGAGGGAGACCATATAAATTTAAATAAATAAATAAATAAATAAATAAATAAATAAATAAATAAATGTATAGAAATACAAAAAAACCTGAACTTAGAAAAAACACATAATAAAAATATACAAGTGAAGCACGTCATTTTAATAAAAATAGGAATAAAAAATGAATATATATAAAAATCTAGATGTTGTGGTTTCATTAGATAAGACCAAATAAATTAAAACTCTGATGCTAGAGGTTTCCTGAAAGAACATGTTTATTGGATACAAAATATCAGCACAGTCAAAAGTGAAACCAAGTCTGAATTGCCCATCAAAGACTTACTATTAGAAAGTCAAACCCCAATACTATGCAATCAGCTACATTCCCCAACAGAATAATTTGGCAATTAATTTAACCTCTTTTTACAAACTTCCACAACTCCTTCTCTTTGCATTATTTCTTCGTTTAATCTCCATCAAAAACTTGTAAACTTGCTTTTCAGTATTACATTAACTGTTACGATCTGAAAAAGTTTTAACTAAAATCTGTATATCAAATATTAAGCAGAACATGAACATTTCGTTTAAAGAGAGTAAATCTTGATGTAGACTTTTGTGAAATCTGAGTCAATGGTTTCATCATTTTTTCCCCTTAGGGAAACTGCTTTTTTCTATGAATAACTCAGGTCATGAATTCAGATCACAATATCTAAAATAAAAGTAGTTTCCCAATATTTCCAAATCATTCTTTTAACAATTCCCCACATTCAATGTAATCAAAGTGCCTCAAAAACAGTTCAATTCCACAGTTTTGGAATGTAAATCAACACAAAGTTAGCCTCTTTATTATTGAAAGATTTCCACACAAGTAAAGAAGATTAGTACTGCATTTGTTTTTTTGCAGATGCTGAAAAGTGTGTAAGATGCCCTGAAGACCAGTACCCAAACAAAGACCGAGATCAGTGTGTTCCTAAGGTGATAATCTTCCTATCCTACACAGAAGATTTGGGGATCATCCTCACTTCCTTTGCTTTACTTTTCTCTTTGAGCTCCGGCTTTGTTTTAAGCATCTTTGTTAAGCACATGAAAACTCCAGTAGTCAAAGCCAACAACCGGGATCTGTCCTACCTGCTCCTTATTTCTCTCCTGCTTTCCTTCTTGTCTTCCTTTCTGTTCATTGGCCAGCCAAGGAAAATCACCTGCCTTCTGCGACAAGCAGCCTTCAGCATCATTTTCTCAGTGGCTGTCTCTTCTCTCTTGGCCAAAACAATCATGGTGGTGCTGGCCTTCCTAGCCACCAAGCCAGGCAATCGTGTGAGGAAATGGTTGGGGAAGCCTTTGGGCAACTCCATTGTTCTTTCTTGTTCTTTTGTCCAAGTTACAATCTGTACTATCTGGTTGGGCACTGTACCCCCTTTCCCAGATTCGGGCATGCATTCCCAGGCAGGAGAGATTGTGCTGCTGTGCAATGAAGGCTCAGTCACTATGTTTTATGCTGCACTTTGCTATATGGGCTTCCTGGCAGCTGTTTGTTTAGTGGTGGCATTCCTGGCCCGGAGGCTGCCTGGAGCCTTTAATGAAGCCAAGCTTATCACCTTCAGCATGCTGGTCTTCTGTAGTGTTTGGGTCTCCTTTGTGCCCACCTACCTGAGTACCAAGGGCAAATACATGGTGGCTGTGCAGGTCTTCTCCATGTTGGCCTCCAGTGCTGGGTTGCTGGGCTGCATCTTTTTCCCCAAGTGCTACATCATTCTTTTTCGACCTGATTTGAATAGAAAGGAACAGCTTATTCTGAAAAGTGAAAGGGAAATGTGATTTTAAATGTGCACCATTTATAAAGCAGTATGAAATCCATTTGGTTATCTCTGTTCCCAAAGGAAAATGTGTGTTAGTTTCTTAGGGAAATGTATTCTGTTTGCCTTATATGTTTAAGTAACACCCAATTTGTTAAAAATAAAAACTTGTTTAAAGGAGTGGTAGAATCAGAACTTAAATTCTACCCCACATAAACACACACACACAGTCACATAGACATACAATTATATAAAAAAGGAAAAGAAAGAAATAATAATTAGGACTTCTGCAGAAATCAAACTCAATATTTTGTGAGACGTTGATCATTGTTCTCTGATTGCATGTAGTGCTGTATATGAAATTTTCTGTGGTGTGACATTGGATTTCCTGGGTTAATTTTGCACTTGATACTTTCCCTGATAAAAAAACCAAGAGCTTGGGTTTAACTAGTCTCTATGAGAAACTGTAGGTTTGTATTGTCTTCTCTAGTACTATGGTGAATTGATCCAATAAATGGAGTTGCTATGGTGAATGATGGCATTTGTTACACTTGTGATCTTTATCCTCTGTTCCATTGTCCAGCTGTCTTTGCCCATATTTCAGGATATCTAAAAATAATACTGACATTTGCTGAAGTTCTTTTTTCTCACTACAAAAGATCAATGATATAGATTGTTAACAGATATCTACTCTAATCATCAAACAGTACAATTTACTGAAGGGGCTTATATGGGTCATTCCAGAATATATCTCAGACCATGCTCCCAGTTGTTCTCTTTTCAGAAGGGAAGAGTTTGGTCAGTGAACAACCTGTTAACAATCATACAGTCCAATGGCAATCGTGCCTAAGGACAGACATAATGGTTAAACTATTAAAGAAGACCTTCCAAAAATATACCGAGAATTGTCCAATTAAAACAGCCATATCTTAAAGACACTTGCTATACACACCAATGAGCAACAAGCAGCTAACAGGGAATTTAGAGCTGATTCCCCTCCCAAATCTACTAAGAGAGAAAGAAATAACTGCTGAAGGCAGAAAAAGGGTTGAAAACATGCCTTGATTTTCCTTTCAAATCCACACAATCAGAATTTCTTTTCCCCCCAAATTTTTTATTAATTTTCCAATATTACATTTACATATTTGAAAAGTAGCATGGTGGCTGAGCACAGTAATTCCATTACATTTGAATATCATCAGTACAAATCTCAAAGTATTACAACAACTAACTCCCTCTCTTTCCCCCATAATATCTACTGTCATATTCAAACCAATACTGTTCATATTCTATCAATCAAACAAAAATACCTTTCTAGTATTCATCAATAATCTTCAGTCTATATATATCTTAGTTAATTTGACATTCCACCTTTTAGACAATAACCTAGTAAGTTTTTCTTGACTTTAATTTCCTATTGATATTTAAGTTTAACATTTAATCTTTATCATTTCCAGATTTTAAATGACCCCAATTTCTAAGTCTCGTATCTCATATTTGGGGCTAATATTTTTTTTCTTTTCTTCCTTCTTCTTCCTTCCTTTTCAAAAAAAGAAAAAAAAGAAAAAAACAAACCACCAGCATTTGTACCACAAACCCATATACAAATTTAATTATTAGTATTTANAGTATTTATACTTCTAAGTTTTACTTAACCTTTGTGTCATAACAATATCTTAAATTCAAATCTTAGTTATTTGTAAACATTCAAACTTTTAGCCAATCAGTGACCTAATGGTTAATTTTCCCTTAATATTTTAATTTAACATTTAATATTTATTTTTTCCAGATTTTTAATTAAACACAATTCCTTTATCACAATTCCTCATACATTCTAATATTTAAAATACACACCTTATATATAAATTCTACCATCTATCTTAACACTCTAATAAGACAGTATAATATTCTTATTTCAATATATTTCTAGATTTTATATAACCAAAATATTCTTTATCTCAAATCATTACAATATCTTGTGTTCAGAATACATATTCTATTTTAGATCTCATGTATAGATCAAAACCCCAATCTTTTTCAATCTTATTCTAGCTTTTTCCCCCCTATCTCTTTTCTATCTCTTCTATCATTGTGTCCTTTGGTGATGAAACTTGTGTTGCAATGCTTCAGTTTAGTGACACCTATAACTGAATGCTTTTTAGTTCAATGCTTCTAAAAGAACTTATATTTTCCAGTTGTGGTTAGAGCGAGAACCTCATAGTTGCCAAAGTTCGTACCTTTAAAAATAGAAGAATAATTATGAATAGAAGAATAATTATGGTAATGAGGATCCCTAGTTCTTTAACTAACAGGGGCCACAGTTTTATGAGCAGAATGAATTTGTAGACAGCTTGCAATTTTCTCCAAATCAGGCACAGTCATTTTCTGACTTGTCAATCCCCATGCATCTAAGTACAAGTACTCCTCACTTACTGTCCACAATAAGGACTGACAACTCAATCACTAACTGGCACTAACTGTTGTTACATTTGATATCACCTGACTGTGCTGACTTACAATGTCAGTTTTTACTGAAGTTGTGAATTACACCTGATTATTAGATGTGACATCATGTGATCATCATTTGCCAGATTCCTTATTGACTTTGCTTGTCAGAAGCCAGGTATGAAGGTTGCAAATTGCATTCATGTGGCCATGGGATATTGTGGCGGTCATAAATACATGCTAGTTGCCAAGCACCTAAATTCCAGCTGCAACTTGAAGGACCAATTATAGGTCTCTTTTTCAGTGCTGTCATAACTTTCCACAGTCACTGAAGTAGGAGTCTATTTAGCGGAAATTACCTATATGTAAAAATGATGGTGGTTAAATATCGTTTTGTATGCAGAAATCTGTTTAAAAGAGCAAATATTTTTGTCTTCATAGCCTATTTCAGATGAGTCTCCATATCCCATTTTCAACACACATCATTGATGAAATGCTACATGTCTCTATATCATGGCCTAGTAGAAAAATTGACATGTGATAATGAAATATATAAGATGAATATGCTGCTTATGTTCATAGGTTCGTGGTTCCAATAATAAGAGGGTTAGTGTTCTACCAGTGAATTGGGAAGGATCATAGATTGAGATATATAAAAACCAGAAGGGAATATTTATTTATTCTGTAGGATGAAAGCCTGGACCAGATGAATAGTATCCTAAGCCATTAAAGGAGCTTGCTTGTGCTCTAGCCAAAAAAAGATTTATTTAGTTTAAGAGATTCTGAAGAAGCGGTTAAAAGGACTGGTGGGAAGCAAATATTTCCTAATCTTATCTCTCTATTTAATCAATTGGCTTTGTTAGCAGATTGTGGGACTTTTATAGATACAGTATTTATTGTCCACATATTTACCCAATCACAATCCAGAGATTCTTGGCATACAGCTGATTAGAGAAGTGTTCATGGGCTGATTCAAGTCCTGCCTGCTGCCTCATCATGGTAGGGGTGGTAGAGGTTGTTCCTGGGAGGAATAAGCAAAGAACCCTGGGAATGGATGCCAAGCCTATATTCCCAGTAGAATCACCCTAGGCATGGAGCTCATCCCAGCTGCCCAGCTAAAAAAAGCAGGCACCTATATTGTACAGCAGTGATATAGGAAGCGAAATGTTTTCAAGGGAAAAACCAAGAAAGTCCAGTTGCCTTTTGGAAAAGCACCTTTGTGACAACCATGACCTGGATGATTGAGAATCTTCATAGATATGTGGAAGCTTGCTTCTAACCTTTCCCCTTTTTACATATTAATTGAGCAATGTGAGGAAAGCTCTTGTCAGAAAAAAAATTAATTGTATAAGAAAAAAATTGATTTTATAAATTAGAGAACTGATTATGAACTGGATTAGTGTATTAATGATGGACAAGTAATAAGCATGTCATGGGGCACATTCTCAAATTATCTGCTGAAATCAAGATGCTGGATGTCCGTTGCATCTTCCATAAAGTGAATTTGGCAAGATCTGTTGAACAAATCAGCCCCAATATTCAGCAAGTACCACATTGCTTGGCCATTGGTATTCAAGTCTCTATTTGATGGGTGGATGATGAAATGCACCATCTTTTAGTCCAGGGCTTTTCAACCTTTTCACCCATTGTACCACTTTTAGGATATGGCAATATCCGAGTACCACCAGTTGCCTAGCAAGGGGTCAAAAAACTTGATGTGAAGATGTTGCCAAGCATCTGAATATAAATCACAAGACCCTGGAGATGCTGCAACATTCCAGCTGATCAGCGCTCCTTCTGGGCTCAACAGACGCACTAGGATCAGCGCCGAGTTCCAGCTGGAGCCCGGCGCTGATCCTGGCACTTCCACTGAGCCCTGACAGTCCCGAAGAAGAGCTGATCCTGGCACTTCTGCTGAGTCCTGACAGCCCTGCAGCTCCAGCCATCTTTCGCTCAGGCTTGTGCAACGCTGCCACTGGTTCAGCTCATTCCCCTCCCCCGCTACCACTTTTCTAGGATGGTCATGTACCACCTGCCAGGTGCCAATGTACCACAGGTGGTACCCGTATCACTGGTTGAAAAGCCCTGTTCTAGTCCTTCCTTTGGGGTCCCTGGAAGGCTTCCTGCAACCCACTAGTTAAAGAAAGATTACTCTATGGATGAATTCTCTGGATCCTGATGCTTATGAAGATGGATCACTGGAAAAGTTAATGGTTGTAAGAATTGCATCAGCAGGTTTTCCAGCTGTGATTTAGTCCATGAGATCACCCAGAGTTTTGAATATTGCAGAGGGAGTAATTCCTATTACATTGATTTTCTTCTTTCTGATTCTCCAGTGATTTCCCCAATGATTGCTTTCAGTGTAAATAACAGACTTATTAGCAACATGATTTAATAACTTGTTCCAGAAAGTCTGGGTGTTTTAATGTCTTCTTGCCATTTGCTTCTCAGAATGAGGTGTCTCGTGATAATTTGTTTTCACCTTCAAATAGAATATGTTTGCTGAGCTCTTGAATAAAGCAAATTACAAAAAATTAGTCCCTGATTATTCTTAAACATATTTGGTGAGAACAACCACACCTGGGTCCTATCTTCAGATATGACCCTTCTTCTGATCCCCAGGGCCTTATCTACACATACATTCTTTCATCTGACCCTTCAATCTCTTAAAGCAGTTACTTTTAAAAATCTCTGGATTCTGATTCTTATTGATCATTGAAAAACTTGATGGCTGTAAGAATGGCATCAGCAACTTCCCCAGCTTTGTCTTAACCCATGAGACAACCCAGAGTTTTGGACATTGCAGGATTGATGTTTTACATTATAATTAGTTATATCTTGGTTGTCCTTCTGATTCTCCAGTCCTTTTCCCTAATGATTGCCTTCAATGTAAACAAAGGATTTGCAAAAAAACATCATTATTTGTGCCAGAAGATCTGGCGTGGTTTAATGCCTTTTTGCAATTTATTGCTCGGGAAGATGTGTGGATTGAGAATTGATTTTCATATTCAATATAAAGCCTTGGCTCAACTCTTGAATAAGGGAAGCCACAAATAATTTAGTCCTTGGTTATTCTTAGACATACTTGATAAGAACAAGTGACTCTATCAACATATCAACAATGATCTTGCAGACTCTTCTTCTGCTCTTGCCCCATCTAATTTGTGGGGTGCTAAAACTGAAATGCGTCTTGAATTTGATGGCAGATGAAATAAAGCCACTGAATTTCTACAGACCAGGAGACACTCTCATCAGTGGGATTGCTTATTTCAAAATTATTGAACACTATATATATACATTTCACACGCCTCCCATTAATAATATGTTTTCGTAAGTCCCTATGTCTTACAGAGATACAGTCTCCATTTCTTGTGTGAGAGAGATTGTGCTGTGAAATTGGCATGGAAAGAAGGTCAGACATGAACAACCAAGATAACATGTGGAGAGTCCATTAATAGCTCATCTAATGAATGACAACTCAGCCTACGTTACAAGAAACCTGAAAAGAAATTAGTCAAAATGTTCCACATGTCTCTGCCGTAATTAATTCATGGTCAAAGGAAAATTCCCTTTGTGCTTCCAGAGTCTGTATTTACTGTTCATGCAAGCATTAATAACATCTTGTTGAATATTTTCACAATATATTTACTGTGTTGCT